CCTTTAACAACTCCTCCCACATTGTTTCCTGAATGCTTTATTTCCACAATCAGTAGCTGTGTTTTTAAATAGTTCTCTAAAATGATGAGCTGGACAATTTTTTAAAGAAATCCTATCTCATGAAGTCATCTCCTATGATACTGTGAATGTTAACCACTAACAGTTATATGATTAATTTCGCACAAAAAGGTCAATTTCATTCAAAACTTTGGTATTGGTACAATTAACACAAAACTGACAGTGCCACCCTAAGCAGTTAAGCCCTTCTAAGTCTCATGGAGTCAATGGTCTTAAGAGGGTGTATCTCTGCCTAGGATGGCACTGTAAAACCATCAGTTATAATATTATTTTAATAGTTCAGAGTATCTAAAACATATGGGTTTTATTAAGTATCGACACTACTTTCAATAAGGGTTTTAAAAAACCCTCCAAAATCCACAAGAAAGAAGTGAATATAGGACATAAAATTTTATTCTGAAATGATCTCTGGCCACAACAATAAATGTAACGAATATTCACTAAAACAGTCTTAACCCCTGCCATCAGCTGTACAATACTTCGGTATCATAGAACTGGCCACTAGGATTAAAGCCCACTACAACATATTTAATGTGAAGTGGCTGTGACAGCAGCATCTCACATAAAGTTTCACATACATATATACACAATCCACATTCAGTCATTTTTTCACATGTTTTCAGTACACACAGTTGCAGCATATTATAGTCACGTGTCTAAGTTGTTGCTCATTTAAAAAACAAACCAAAACAAACCAAGGTATACCTTAGACATAATTGTAGCAGTTGAACTGGGTAAATGCAATGACTTTTCATATTACCTTGTATTTTGTAGCACAGACAAACAAGGTCCTAGAAACAATGTAATTCACAAATGTTTTCTTTATTTCAATGCATTTCAAGTGGGCCATATTAAAGCCTTTACTGACATAAAAATCTTTTATTTATAATTTTCACTTTGTATTTACCATCTGTCTCTGGTAGAAAAAAAAGATTCTTATGAAAAACAGACAGAATCGAAGAGATCTGACACTTGCCTAAAGATTCTAACAGAGCATGTTGCTACTAACAGGCATAATGCCCCAGCACTGTTGCCGAGCAGTGCCCATTCAGCTCAATGGTACTTGCATATGGTTTCAGTGGTATTCGCAAGCCCCATTCTAATCAATGGAAGCTGCTTGGCACTAGCCATTCAAGGGCTGTGCCTTACATCTGAAGCATTTTTCTGTTTTTTTCTTTTTTTAATTCTTCAGAAATCCTTCATGACCCCAAACCACCCACCAGGATAAAAGTGGCAGTAAGTGCCTTGCACCCAAATTGTAAAAATCCCTGGCTTCATTTACTGGAGCCAGGCACGTAGAAAAGGAATGCACTTTGGATCATACCAAATGCCCTGGGATTATTTGCACTATAAAATTAAACAGTTTCTGAGGTAATTTTTTTTCCTTTTTACAAATACAGTTGATTCTGTCTAGTGCTGACATAACAAAAAAATATTTCTTTAAAAAATCAGTCTGACATTAAGGTTACAACTAACTACTATGAAGTGCCATCTTTAACCCTTGAAGAAGCCTGCAAATTCCTACAAAAGAGTATCCTGTCCCCCTTCACTGAAGTAGTATGATTGCCTTATGGTTTATGTTAAGGCCTTGAAAACATGGAACAAAATCTACCAGAATGGTCTTCTGCTCATGCCCAGGTGATATGCCTGAAAGGCAGCCAAAAACACTAAAGTGCTCTTGTAGAACTACCATGCATTTCACTGGGGTATGCACAGGAAAACTGCCTGGCAGACTGTGCTCATTGAGGATATATTTAAGACAGACATAGTCATTAAAATAGATTTTCGACCTGACTACATAACACCTTATTCAAAGGGTTAAAGAAATAGTGTTACATACTTCACAACATGGCATTGTTCATAACGAAAGGCACATTGTTAACACCAAGGGCACAGTTTTTATCCTCCACTGTTCTTCTACAAATCTTGCACTCCTTTTTTTGTACCGACACACTCAAGTAGTGAAAGTAGCACTCCAATAGTGCAAGAACCAGACAAACTGAGACTGCAACCAAAGACAAGACAATGCTGTACTATTACTACTCTTTAAAAGAAGCTCAGATGTCCCCAGACAGTGGTAACATGTGAGGCTAAGCAATGTTTCCAAGCCAACATCTATCAGCCCAACTAATTAGAGCCCTTAGAAACAAAATCACACCAAAGCAAGAGGCAACATCCTTTAAAATATTTTTTCTTCCCTCCTCCCCTCCTCCCACCTTTCCAATTATAAATAAGCCACAATAAAAAGGCAGTCAAATTACTGAAAATTGTAGGATGGCTGACTCTTTTGTTAAATATATAGGAGGTTTCATCACATTAGAATAAAAAAAAAAAGCTCTGCACACGGTATTTTGGCCTAAAAGTTTCCGGTAGCATCTATGAAACATGGTCAGTTACAAATACACTATTGGCATTTAACCTATAGATATATGAAAAAGCATATATTAATGGTTTTTAGATCACAAATGATCTAGGGATATTGTTGATCTTTTCAGTTCAGCTTCATGGTAACGGATGCATCAATGTATTTCAAAAAATGAATGGGCTTTTTTTTGGTGGGGGGACTGAAGTTCCATCCAGCAACTCCTTGGCCATGCAGGCACTCTCTTGCTCACTCAGCACTCCAATGCATGCAATGGCTTCTCTGTTCACATCAATTAAAGATGCCATTCTCACTCCATGCTTTAGAACTGGTTCACTATTTAAGCAAATGAAGCCTGCAAACACACGGACCTTCCTGCAGACACTGGTGGCCAATGAAGATAGAGATCAAGACCATCATGAATAACTAATGCAAAGATATGGATACTCAGATCCCTACACCTCTATTACTCACATTTGTACATCCAGGATAGCCACACGTTATTGTACATCCAGGATAGCCACACATCACTACTTGAGTGTGTTGGTACAAAAATACTGTGTATTTTAAACTACAAATATTTTAATATCATTCAAGGCAGGGAGTTGCAAATAAAGGATGGTCAAATATTAGCCAACAACTAAAGTTGTTAAACATTAATAAACATCTTATTTTGATCACAAATTACTCGTGTGGGATGGGGAAAAGAATGGTCTATTCAGTTTTTTGGCAAGTATTTTTTTTTCCTGAGAATTCATCATTTCTTGTTTATGCCCATTTTCAAAATGCAAAAAATTGGGGGGGAAACTAATTTTCACTTTTGAAATGAAAATAATCCTGAATTTTTAAAAAAGAAGTTGACCGGAAACTTTCTTGGCTTCTCAGGGGACCATGCTTTAAGTTGTTATTTCAAAGGAATTTCTAAAGGTATTTGAATTAAATCTGTGCATACTTACAAGGTTTTGTTATTATGTAATTGACCCTTCCTTCTTCTAGCACCCTGTCTTCTTCAGAATTTTAAAAATGTAATCATCAGTGTATATATGATGTAACACTGATTTTAACAACATCTGATTGGTTTAAAAATAGCTTTACAGTGCCCAGTAACTCCGACCTAAATTATATTCTGCTAACTGGTTACTCTCCTGATGAGAAATCTCAGGCTACAGTCACACACACTAAATAATCCACTTTCAGTGCACTTTCCGACTGGATTTTACTGTGTGAACTGGCAAAATCCAGTTGGAAACTGCACTGAAAGTGGATTATTTAGTGTGTGTGACTGCAGCCTTAGCCTGGTGCAGATTTTGCCACTGACATATGCTGTTCCTCCCCATAGAGGAAAAGTGAAGAGCAAAACAGGCTGTGTTGCTGTGTTTACTCCGTATAAATAGAGTATCACCCTGACTATCTGCTCGAAGATGGAGCAGAAGTAACAAGGGAGTATGCCCAAATGTCCTTGCTTGAAAACAACCATTTTACCTATCAAAGCCATGTAAATTAGAGCATAAAAAACAGAAAAATCTACATTAACATCTACAAGTTCTTCAGTGTAGGATCCTACCCTGGGTTCATTTCAAAGTTATTTAACCTCTTAATAGGTTCTGCAAATAAAAATCATCTGTTTTAATTTGAACAAGGTCTTTGACAAATCTGAGATGTACTCATAAGTAAGGACACAAGAACAGATGTGATTCCACAGATTAAGGTGGTATCTGGGGCAGTTAAGTAAGTGTCTAAGTTATACTTGAAGAATCCAAGACACCAATAATATATAATTGTTGCAGCAAACATGTGTGTTCCACTGCTGTTTTCTTCAGCAAACACATAAAATATGGAAATAGAAATACACATGTGTATTCATGTCTGAATTCTAGTGTACATGTGAGAAATCTGATTTGTATTATATGGATATTTAACAATGTTTTCCTCTATAATCATAACATAGTCCTGCCCAATACAAAGAGCTAAATGTGGCAGTGAAATCATAATCCATCAGACAGACCACAGCACATTCCAGCAGGGCATTCTCCCGTGCAAGCCACACTGAAATGACTCAACACTGTACTGCTCTCCTATCATTCCTCTTTAATTTAACAGGGCTTATGCAGGTGGATTGTTCCCAAGGACTGAATACACAGTGGAAAGAGCTCCAACTGCTTTAAGGAATAAACTGAAGAAAGCAGAATGGGGAGGGACCCAAATGTGTACTTGTGGGTTTGAATTCTTAACATTTAGCATAAAATGGACCCCGGTCACACAGGCCGGAAAATGCGGGGTGGGAGGCGTGGCTATTTGTGGCACTGCAACTAGCTATGCAACAACGCGATCAGACGCGTCGGTGGCATCCCATGGTTCCGGCCCTCGGCGTGCACGCTGCAACGAAGACGGCTGGAGGGAAAAGCCGTGCCAGCGAGATCACACCAAGGGAGGCTGGAGGCAGCCCATGGCAAACCATTTGCTACTACCTTCAAGGAGGTATTTTTTAATTGCGCATTTTCGGCAGCATGCCATGGGTTGGCCACGGTGCGCTCCACTTGCCAGATGTTGTGGTGTGATCGCGCCCGGAAAATCCGCCATCCAAACGTGGCTCTCCCGCGGCAAATTTGCTGTGTGAATGGGGCCATGGTTTGTTTCTCATAATTTGTCTTCAGAGAATAGCTCATCTATTGTTACAGAAATGCACTTCCTTATGCTTTACTTATTACATTGTCTGTTTTAAATGCAGCATGAATGTTAAATAATTTTTTTTGGGGGGGGGGATTTATCACCTTTAGGGCTGCTGTAGAAATAAAAGAAGAGATTCCAGTCATGGATTCTGGTATTTAATTCTGCAGATTTGTAGAAGAACAGCCTTGAATGTGTGTGTTTGGAAATCATCTTCCCTCTATGCCAGGCTCAAGAGTTCAGAGCCAAGGACTGGGGAGCTGGTGTTAGTGACTAGCAGTACAATCCTAAGCAGAGTTACATCTTTCTGAGACCGCTGACTTCAGTGGGCATAGATGGTGTAATTCTCTTTAGGATTCCTCTGCTAATTAAGCCTAGCCAGCAAAACAGGCAGGTTTAGCAAGGGAACTAATCTAGCAGGGAATAATCTAATAGATCTTTATTGTTTCTGCACTAGAACCAAACCAGTGCAGTTTTCCCATCCCTTATCATATTTAATCACAAAGCCCACAAGTTAGGTTTTAAATTAAGGAGATAAAACTGAATTAAACACAGTTGTTCTGGCTCATGTTTTTCAGCCCAAGAATATAATCCAATAAATTCTATATTATACTCGTGCACAGCTCCTGAAGAATGTGAATCTTTTACAACAGTCTTTTCAATCTTAAACAGTGCACTGCTATGCACGTTTACTAAGTAAGCCCAAATCTGTTCAACATGTTTATTCCCTGGTAACTGTGCACAGGAATGCAATTTAAGTAACGCAACCAGACATGGCATTGGGATTTGCAGAGCACAGAGGGCATACATCAACCCATGCTGTCTACCTGTATCAAAGCTCACCTCGATAAAGGTAGGGAGAAAGGGATGGAGGTTCAAGCAAGGCTTCTTGAGACTCCAAGCTTACCAGTTAACTGGGCAACACAAACTCAGTAAAAGCTAATACTGGGGCCAGGCACTGAAACTGTTGAATATCAGAGTGATATTAGGCTACCCTAAGATCTGCAGTTTTCAAAAGTTTAGACACTTGACAGGGAACAGTGGAGTGGGGTTTGATGCAAGCACAGGGGCGCATGTGCCTACTGCATTTCCTGGAAGTTCTCTATGGATGCAATTTTTCAAAACAATAAAAGCATCATAATAAATATTAATAGCAAGTATTAATTGGTTAATGAGCCAGAATATTGATGCACATTTTACCAACAGTCATGCAGACCTCACTCATACCCCCTGAATATTTTCTATATCATAAAGAGAAGAATGTAGGGAAGTGTTTGCAAGATTAGGATCCACTGCTAAAAGAAAAAGAAAAACCAGAAACAGAAAAGTATGGAAAGTTCACTCCAGTGAAATGCCAATATGAACAATGGGGTGGGGTGAGAAAACACACTCCCCCTATCAGGTTATAATGCATGGTGGTTATGCTGTAACCAGTGGCCTGCCACTGACCCATTATTGTGCCACACTAGTTCCATAGTAAGGCTAGCTACTGTTCAGAAGAAAAACATTTCTTTTTTAAAAAAGTATAAAAACTTAAAGCATTGTCCCCATGTTTTTTATAAAATCAAAACAATTTTTTCTTATACATTTAAAGTGAGTGTTGAAAAAATACAAACATTTAAAGTTACTGAGCAAATAAAAATAGAAATCTGAGCTACTTTTTCATGAGAATAAGGCTCAGTGACATAGTATCTCTCTCTATTTAAAATCAGCATTGGATTATTCAAACTCAGCTTACAAGTTTTGGCAACACTGTCCTTTGCTGAATATTCCCATTGGCATCTGTCATTTGTGCCAAATTAGTCCTCAGTTTTGATGCTGAGTTTGAAGTCGGAGGTAACTTAGAAATTGATGTGATAGCACCAGCACTTTCTGTTATTCTTTTTGCCGACGTCTTCTCCCCAGTTGGAGGCTTTGGCAAACGTCTCCTTAGCCAGGGATGCCGTAAAGCCTGACTTGGTGTCATGCGCAGAGCAGGATCCCACTCTAAACACTGTTTTAAGAAGTCAAGGAAAAGGGGATCATCGCATCCCTTTAATGCAGTCCCCCACTCTCTACTCTCTGGAGGGCCACGTAATTTGCCCCGCCGGGAACGACCACCATTGAGCACTACAGAACCATCTGACAAGGTAGTAATGGTACAGTATCGGGGATAACCCTTAGAGCTCACAAAATTTTTTGCTCTTTTGGATGAATCTAATAGTTTCTGGGAAGGCATGCCCAATAATTCTATCATACAAGCCAGCTGATCCCCTTCATCTTCTCCTGGTAAGAGAGGATAACCGGTTAAGAGCTCTGCCAGAATGCAGCCCAAGCTCCACATGTCTATGGGCATCCCATAGCGAGCACCAAGGATTACTTCTGGAGCACGGTAAAAACGTGACTGAATATAAGTGTAGACACGCTGATGCTCATAACAGCTAGAGCCAAAATCAATAACTTTAATACCACTCCGACCCTGTTGCTTCAACAGAATGTTCTCTGGTTTAAGGTCACAGTGAATGATTCTGTTTTTGTGCAAAGCATCCAAGCATTGCAAAATTGAATGGGCAAATTTGCGAACTAACGGCAGGCTGAAGCCTTGAAATTTGTTTTTTTTAATGAGCTCGTAAAGGTTCATGCTCAGCAACTCAAATGTCATACAGATATGGTTGCGGAATGTGAAGTTTTCCAGCATGTGTATAACGTTCATATTGTTGTCCTTATCCTGTTTTTTTAAGTGCTCCAGAATTCGGATTTCTTCTGCAGCTTGGCGGTGAAAGCGCTTCTCATTTCTCACCATCTTCAGGGCAATGTGCTGATGCATCTTGTGATCATAGGCCTTCACCACTTGCCCAAAACTTCCTTTCCCTATAACCTTCAGGACCTCATATCTGTATGATATATGATCATGGGGTACTTGCACATACGATCCCTGATCATCATCATACCCACTGTTGTTTGGACCACCAATTACACCTTGTCTCTTCTTTGCATTTGGACCCCAAAAATATATTTCAGAATAACTGAAAATCTCATGATGCTCAAAGGCTGTTAGCTTTTGCATGTATTGCTTCATGGCTTGCTCTGGTGTCATAACAGAGGCTTTCACCTTCCCTGTCCCTTCCGTAGACTTCAAAGAACTGGAGCTCCCTTGCCGCCTGTGTGCACTGTCCAGTTGTCTGTCTTGGACCACTGGCAATCCTGATTTTGCTACTGTTGTAAGCCCATTGGGTTGTGTGGTTAGAACCGTCCTTTTGTTGCTATTGTCTTCAAACCCATGGCTGGCGACATGCAGGTGTTCGTTCATTGTGTGCTTATTTCCACCACCCTGAAATACAAAACATAATTCTGTAGTTAAAGAGAGCGCAGGCAGAAACAATCTAGCTCAGTAGTCCCCAAAGGGCACAGTATGGGAAGAAATGGAACTTTGCCTTTATTCAGCTGAACCCATTAAATCCTTGACAAATACCCACAACCTGTAGGTTGTGCATAAATACCTTCATTTTATTGCCTTTTACCCTACTGTGACTACTTTCTGCTCCATAGGCTTCACACTACAGGCAACCCAGAATTACTTGTCAAGGGGGACCCTATAATAAATGTAGCTACTCTGTTTTGACACTTGTTAACAAAAATGACTACTTTCTGTAAAGATACAGTACAGGTAATACCATACTATTTCTTGAACAGCTTCTGTGGATGCAGAAAAACAGGTTTTTAAGGTGAGTAATATACTTTTATAGTTAAGTAATACATTGAGTTATATTTTCTACTTTTGGATGAAAACTCCCTCAGGGAAATTAAATGCATTAGATTAATTTATTTTATTTACTACATTTAATTAATAAAATAAACAAATATGTGTATTTGAATCATACAATAACATAGAAAAGACCCTAACTTCAATTAACCTGACCCTTACCCTGGGAGCAAAATGACTTGCTATGTATTCTTCCACAACTATTCCTTACTCACAGGGCTTTCTTTTGTCATGAAAAGTGCACCATTTGACCTTTAAAAGTCCCTTTCTGTTGCTTTTCTACCAGAACAATAGAAGTTGTGGCTCCCATATCCCATTTGAAAGGGGTGTGTGTGTGTATGTGTGTGTGTGAGAGAGAGAGAGAGAGACTCCTGAGATGACAAACAGGTGGCACAGTTTAAACAGGCCCTTTCTTGTCCCACACTTCACAGCTGCTTTTCACAGCAAAAGAAAATCATGAAGATATTCATAGTACCACTCTTTCTTCTATAAAGTTAACTTTCTGAACAACTTCCTCTTTCCTTTCATTTCCCAGAGCTACTCCATCCCCAAAACTGCAAAATTCCCCAAAGCCTGAAAATTCAGAAGGTAACATTATTTCACCTTCACTCCATGACTTTGAGGCATTGCCTTGTGATTTTTGGACATGTGAAAGCAGGGGTCTCTAGTAGGCCGGAAGGTCTAGATGGTGAAGGGAAGACAACTTAGGCTGCCAATGTGCTTAAATTGCCTTTGAAAGTAAAATACTACACTAGGAAGCACAGAGTCAAATGCTACAGGACTCAGTGTTATCCAGCTGAAAGTATAACACTTCCATCAGCTATAATCTGACGCCTACAACATGCATATTGGGTTAAATATAAAGATATACTAATCAGTTGCAGCCCTTCAGCTTAGTATGCATTCCCAGACTGTTTCCCCCTCCTTCATTTTTTGTGAGCTGAATCTCCCAGGCCAAAACTGATGTTCATTTTAAGTTCCATTAATTGATTAATTAATTAATTAAAAATATTTCTATGCCATCTTCTCACCCAATTCAGGGTCCCCAAGATTGTGAACATTAAAACATTTCAAATATCGGGCTTCCGGTCGAGCCAAGATGGAGGACTGACGCACTTTCACTTTTGTGCGAAGTGGGCGACAGCTGCTTTTGACAGTTTGGGCAGTTTCTAGCCCAGCGCATCGCTCCCCAGCGAGGGGGGGGGACAAGCAGGCAGCAGCGCCTAAGAGGGAGTGTTAGGTTGGCGTGATTCCGCTTCGGAAGAAGCGGAAACAGGCTTTGATCTCCTCCCGCGAAGAAGGCAATTGCCGAGCAACTCTCCAGCAGCCGTTCGGGCCGGTGTACCGGTTTAAATTCTCCATCAGCCGACCTCTTGAAGATGGGCAACAACAGTGAGTGAAAAGAAGCAATGCGAAACCCGTTTTGATCGCGTAGATAACAATAAACGTGCCGCTTACCTGAACTGCGTTAAAAAATAATTTGAATCAAGCGGATGAGCGGATAAAGAATTAATATTCCCAGAACTCTGATTCCGGCAAAGAAATAGTTGATTGAAGGCTATAAAACAGCAAAAAAGCATTTTGTTTAACATTCCTGCGGTGAGGACGGAGCTGAGCGCGCAGCAGAAAAAACCGAAACTGACGAACAGTATCGCGGGAAGATGTAGGTTGGTGTAACCGGCAAAGTACTCCGAGTAGGTTGAGCAGTGAGAAGATATCCTAGAAGGGTAACAATCAACAGGAAGAAACTCGGACTCTTCAAACTGCAGGACCGGATGTGAGTGTATGCGAACAGACGGGACCTGCAGAACGCCAAACCGACCTACTCTATCCCTAATTACCATAGAGAAGTTGCGCCCGACATTTTGAGGAGGACTTTAACTTAATTTGATTTTTAAAGACCTTTTAGAAGATTTTTGAAAGCGCAAATAGACGCATTTGGACAATCGAAAGCTTATCTTCTAGAAGAAACAACTTGTTGTGTAAGTTTGCGCACCGCAGAGAAATCGCCAAAACGAAGACCAGAAGGGCACCGAAACGAACCAATTCTGACCCTGACGTTCAACCAGTTGTGAGACCAAGGACAGGCTCAACATCAACCCCTAAAATGTCAAAAGAGAGGGAGAAGGATAAGAAAGAATTGTATGCAGCCATGGAATTGATGGAGAAAAGAATGATGGAGGCGATTCAGGCCATGGGTGAGCAGATTGAGAAAAGGTTGGGGGTGCAAGAAAAACATATGGAGCAGCAACTGGAAGAGCAAATGGCAAAGCAAACTCAGATACACTTGAAACAAATTGAAGAAGCCCAGGAGAAAAATGTAGCAGCATTAAAAGAATTGGTTACAACAGAAATTACTTCAATCAAGCAAGAATTAGATGGAGTCAGAAAAGAAATACAGGCTAGTGCAACCAAAACTACAGAGACAGAGGAAAAAATGCAACAATTGGAAGAGAAACAGGATTCTTTGACTCAGCAATTTAGGAGATCTGAAACAATGATGGAGTTCAGAAGAATGCAAACTCATTTGAGATTTAGAGGTATCAAAGAAAAAGAGAATGAAAACATAAGAGAGGAAATGATAAAAGCGATCACTTTGTACTTGGAAGAGGAAGAGGGAACAATGGAAGCAGATTTTGATTTGATATACAGAGTGAACTCCAGAATTGCGGAAAAGAAAAATTTACCAAGGGATGTAATTGTACAATTTGTAACAAGAGCAACAACAGAAGACATCTTTAAGAAACAATTTACCGTCCCGTTCGAAATTGAAGGGAACAAGATCATGGTGATGAGAGAGCTCCCACGAGCAGTATTGCAAGATAGAAAAAGGTATAAACCTCTGGCTGACAAACTGAAGACCTTGAATATCAGATACAGATGGGAGATTCCACAAGGCTTATCCTTTACTTACAAAAGTGGGAGGGTCCAGATCAGATCGGTGACGGACTTATATAAATTTAAGGCAGACAATTTAGATGCCTTTGGAGAAATTTAACTTAAAATTTACAATGGATTACAAATTGTTGTCATGGAATGTGAATGGACTAAATTCACCAAATAAGAGAAAAAGAATCAATCATTGGATACAAAAACAAAACTGTAATGTGATATGCTTGCAAGAAACTCATATTAGAAATTCCGATACTAAATATTTAAAAAATGTCAAATTTGGATTAGAATTTTATTCTTCGGCCTCAAACAAGAAAAAAGGAGTTGTGACATATGTGAAAAAGGATTTACAACCTAAAGAAATTTTTAAAGACTTGGATGGAAGATATGTGGGTGTGGAAGTTTTGATCCAACAGAAAAAGACATTGGTGATCAATCTATACGCACCCAATGGAGCAAAAGAAAAATTCTTTAAGGACTTAACTGAACATCTACAAGGACAAACCTATGAACAAGTCATTTTGGTCGGAGATTTTAACGGAACTGTGGACCGTTTGGATAGAAGATCACAAAAAGGCAACGAAATTAGTGGAAAATTGCCAAAGAACTTTTTTGAAATAGTCAAGCAGGAAAAACTAGAGGATGTATGGAGGAAATGGAACCCGACGCAGAAGGATTTTACTTTTTATTCCAATAGACATTGCTCTTTTTCCAGAATTGATATGATTTGGATGTCAGAAGAATTGTCAATGAAAACACATAAAATTGAAATTTTGCCAAGATGTAATTCCGACCACAACCCTGTTTTGTGGACTTCTATAGAAAGGAACAAATCCTTTCTTTGGAGAATTAATGAAGATTTGTTGGATAAAAAAGATGTAACTGAAATGTTAAAGGAAGAAACAAAGCAATTTTTCCAACAAAATCTGAATAAAGAGACCCCAATTCAGGTGGTGTGGGATGCGTATAAAGCAGTGATGAGAGGGATTCTCATCTCTCAAAATGCGAAGCAAAAGAAGGAAAAATTTCAAAAACAAACAGTAGTGTTGGAAAAAATATCACAAAAAGAAAAAGAATTAAAGAAGAAACCAGGGAAAAAGAAGATTATTCGAGAATTACAGTTGTTGAAAGAACAACTGAATGAAACTTTAAACCAGGAGCTCTATTGGAATTTAAAGAGGCTACAGCAAAAATCTTTTGAAGGGGCAAATAAACCGGGGAAATTTTTAGCGTGGCAACTTAAGGCTAGAAAAGAAAGAAGAATGATAACCAAAATAATAGAAGAAGGAAAAGAATTCGTTGACCCTACTGGCATAAAGAGAAGTTTCTTCAAGTATTATGCTAAATTATTCCAAGCAAATAGAACAGATCTTGAGAAGATTAAAAAATATTTGGACAAGGTTCCGTTACTTAAAATAAGCAACGAATTTCAGGAATTACTGAATGGCCAAATTCAAAAAGAAGAAGTGAGGAAGGCAATTGAAGAAGCGAAGTTGGGGAAGGCGCCAGGACCGGACGGATTTACCGCAAAGTTTTATAAAAAAATGAAAGAAGAAATTGTTCCGGTCATGGAAGCTTTATCCAACGATATACGTGAGAGTAAGAAGGTGCCAGACTCTTGGAAAGAAGCAATTATTTCATTAATACCAAAGGAAGGACAAGAACCAACGAATGTG